TGTTAACCAGCTGCTAACAGCTAATGTTGACTAGCTGCTAACAGCTAACGTTAACCAGCTCTCCTCCTGCTGATGTCATCACGGACTTGTTGTTCACACTGTGACATCATCAGGAAACAGTAGACTGCGTCCTCTGACATGAAGCAGTGAGCTCACTGCGTCCTTTCGTCCAGATGGCGTCCCAGGAAAAATCTCTGTTCATCCCAAACACGTTTTCCACGACGGGACAGCATTAATCTCAGGTCCTCCTTGAGAACAGAGAAACATCGACTGCTGTTATCAGTGATGTCATCTTATTTGCTTATTGACATGAAGAATATCAGCTGATATCGATGTACCAGTGAGCTCATTGCTTCATTGTGTGCTCTTTTACGCCTAGACCTGTACGTAAAAGCGCACACAATTTGGTGTCCTCTCACCGCGGATGCTGTGATTTGGCCCAGTACTCATTGTAGCCCACTCTTATAAGTCCCAATAATAATGATAATAAGTTACTGTGGACCTATATGCCATGCCTTTTAATAAAATTACCAGAGGAGTTCGCTGAAAAACAGGTAACGTCAGCCTACACGAACTCACTCCTACTCGCTCCGTGACATCACAGCTGCAGCTAACGATCATCATCACTGAATAATGTCCACGATCATTCGATCAGTAACGTCAATGACTTTGTTCAGGTGTGGCTCGCAGCGCTGAGGGAGACGGACCGGCAGGACGCCACAGAGCAGCACATCATCTGTGAAGACCACTTCCTGTCGGAGGACATCTCCACCAGCGGGGTGAAAAGTGACGCCATCCCCATCATGCCCCCTGACCTGGGCGGGCCGCTGGGCCTGGTCAGCCCCTGGGGAGCTGAGTGCTCCGAGGAGGAGGAGGAGGAGTGGGCCGCCGGAGACTGTGAGGAGGAGGAGGATGAAGATGAAGATGATGCTCCTCCTGCAACACATCCTCCACAGCAGGTCTGTTTGTTTAATATGTTCTCACACGTGTGACGCGTCTCTGAATCTGACACACAGGAGGAAGTGAAGAGGAAGTGACCTCATCTGAAATCATTAGAGATTTAATCTATACATTTATGAGATTTTATTTCTGATCTGAAATGTAAAAACTCTGACCCTCAGGATCTTCCTCTTGTTCCTCTCTCTGATTTCCAGGATCCAGGTGGTCGTTTGGAGAATCCTCCGGAGGCGGCGACGACCAGGTAACAAACGTTCAGCCTGTCATGTGTCAGTTAACCCTTTATCATCTTTCAGTTTCCAGCCACTGCCAACGTTTTGATCATATTCACTGATCTCTGAAAACACACAGAATCATTTGCTCTGTAAATATATAAAGAGTTTATTCATCAAACTAAACAACAGATCCTGTTTTTATTCTGTCAGATTTGTTTTTCGTGAATTTGTGACTTTTCATAAAAAAAAAACATTTCAAAAAGCTGAGAAAAATGTATTTTTGTCAAAGAGTCATTTTCAAGAACAAAATCAATTTCACATTGACGTGTTATTTTTTTCTCACTTCCTTACGTCAGTCTGAACTGTATAAACAATAACAATAATGTTGTCTTTGAGGTGCAGCAGCTGAACACGTTGTCATGTTCAGTGCGTCACTGTCATCGTCATGGAGATCCTGTTTCTCCCCATTAACTCTTTTGTTTCTTCATCCAATCAGATTCAGAATGTTGATCAAAACAGGAAGTGAAAGAGTCTGATTCCATCAACGTCTCCAGGTTGTGCAGTTTACTGGGGCTGTAGTCAACCAAAGAAAATCTTCAACTAATCGATTAGTCGTGGGGAAAAAACCCTGCACGTTATTTTTACTTGTGTGGTGGTGTGTCTGTGTCACTCTGCAGTTACACCTCCAAAACACTAGTCAGCGGTGGAGGACTGTGTTAAGAGCTGTAAAGTTTAGTTCAAATCAAACTTTATTTATATAGTTGATTCAAAACACACATTAAACACACATTAAGCACATTAAACACACATTAAACACACATTAATACTTGGCTTAATAGAGACAGTTTCAAACACAAATCAGCTTCACTATAACTCGCAGCATTCACAGACAAACACTTGTCTTTATCTGGGGTCCGTTTCACAAAGCAGGTTTAGTGAAAACTCAGAGTCTGTTAACCCTGAAATGAGGGAAACTCTGAGTTTTCCGTTTCAAAAAGGGAGGTAACTCAAACCAGAGAAAGAGGAGTAACTCTAGCCTGTTTCAGAGAGAGAGGTAACTTAAGCTCTCGGTCAGTTACCGTAGTAACAGACTCTATGAACCTAACCTGGTCGGGACCAGGTTTTTGTCAATGAACCTCGAGTTTCTCTCTGTCTCCGCCCTCTTTCAGAGCCACACAGTCCATTTGATTTCCTCATTCATTCAGTCAGCAGGCGAGTTTTGGCGTAGCCTAGTTCTGCCGTCTGTCATTTTAAAAAATCAGAGTCAGTATATTAGAAGTCCATTAGGCACAGTAGGTGGCGACTTTTTTCACTAACATGGCATGTCCTTTTGATAACGATCCCGTGGATGAAGGTGCAGCATTACTGCGCAGAGAATTAAATATTCGTCGGGAGATGGTTATCAGACCGCGCATAGATGTTTTAGCATTTCCACACAATTATCTTTTTGAGCTGTACCGTTTCACGTCACAGTCCATCATCTACATACACAACCTAATCCGTCCTTACATTTGCAACATTACCAATCGTAGTCATGCTCTCACATCCCAGCAGATATTGTGTGTTGCGCTGCGTTTCTTTGCAAATGGAAGTTTTTTGTACAATGTCGGAGATGCTGAGCACTTGAGTAAGGCAACTGTATGCAGGGCGGTCAGAAAAGTGTGCTCGTTTTACGGGCATCTGCCTTCTTTCTGTTGGCTGAGTAGAAGTCTGTGTTAGTTTAAATAGGCTTAATTATTTAACAGAACATGATATAGATGAGAAGACATTTATGTGTGTGAAAACAGCATTATGTTGGGGATAAAACAACTGCACAGTCAAACAGCCACTTAATATTTACTTTACAATGTAAAACATGATCAAAATGAGGTACCCCCATGAGATTATGCCGAGGTCTTACCTGTTTGAACAATGTTTTTATATTTCATCCTAAACTGCTGCCAAGTGCGCTTCTCCCCCGCGGGATTGCACCTAAATGAAATAAATTAATAGGCTACCATTCAAGCAGTTTTCCCCTGTAATATTATTGTGATTGCAAAGGACAACATTTAAACTTACGCATTGACCCGAGCAGCAATGTTCTCCCACGCCGTCTCCCTCTCTTTTGCAGCTGCAGCGGTGTTGCACTTCTTTTTGAAAACGTGTTCAAACTCGCCGTATGAGCGCATTAAGATTTCTAATTCTAGTGGGGTGAAAAACGCAGCCCTCCTCTTCCCCGTTGCCATGGTGACTCGTCAAATCGGGGCTCCATTGATGCTGGCTTTTTATAGTCGTGGTGCACGCGCTTAACTCCAGGTGAAACTACTCCGAGTTGATTAAACTGATTCAAATCAGCTGTTCCTGAACCGGAAACTCAGAGTTTCTTATCTCAGAGTAGATCAACTCAGAGTTCAGGATTAGACTCAGAGTTTGTTGAACCTGCTTTGTGAAACGGACCCCTGGACACGTTTTCCCCACCAATACAACATGCTAACTTTAATAGCACAAGTCTATGGCATTTTACATTGTATAATTTAGCCTAGCGTCTAGCGATCTTTTCCTCTTCTCATATAAAACCAGGGACAACAGCAACATGTAACAAAGGTGACAGCATATAATTCAGCTCCATTACAGCTCACAACATTCACCGACCAAAAAAAATGTCTTATACTGAACACGTTTTCCAAACAAATACAACATGCTAACATTATTAGCACAAGCCTATGGCATTTTACATTGTATAAATTAGCCTAGCGACGAGCAGAGATTTCCTCTGCTCATATGAAGCCAGGATAAATCACACACATGACTTAAAATGCTATTTTAGTGGAGGCTTTATTGTCTTCACAATTTATTGTTTCTTATCTGTGAAATTAAAGTAAATCAAAGCTTTGTTTCCACTGAGGGAAATGGTTTCAGCTTACAGAGACAGACAGGAGGTCTGCGTCACTGTGACGCTGAGCGTGAGGGTGGGCGAGTCCAACTTTCTGTCAACAACGGCGTGTTTTGAAAACATTTTCACAGGTAACTTAGCCTGTCCCCCCGCCGCAGGAAATAATGGATTAATCCTGGAAAGCTGTTGATGTAGCACTTTTCTCCTTTTGAAAGTAACACGGCAATTATTCGACCAATGAGAAATTGGTCGGACGAGAGCATAGCGACCAAATAATCGACTAGTCGACCAGGAGACTACAGGCCTACAGTTTACAAGCTGCTACATTTCTGTAAACATCGTCCTCCTGTTTCCAGCAGATCTTCTCCTTTGTTTGTTTTTGCACATGGCAGTGCTGTTCTGTTTCACAAGATGTGTAACAGCACCCTCTACCTGATAACAGTGAAAACAGATTGTTTGAATATCTGGTGAACGACAGGGAAAGAGTTAAAATGAAACTTTATTTTATGGAGATGTTTTTGGTATTTAGTGTATGAAACTGTCTCAAATGTTCCAGAGCAGCAGATTCTGTGTGTGTTTGTCAGAACTCATCATGTTGTCTGTTTCTTTCAGTTCTCTCCTGCAGCAGAGGAGACGGTCTGAGTCCAACAGAGACGGCAGACAGAGTGAGTGTGAGCTGCGTTCAGCTCTGAAACCTTTACTTAAACAAACGCAGTGGTGCGTTCAACAGCCTGTGGTGTTACGCAGGCGCACTGCCTTTTAATATGGCAGCGCTTCATTCAGTTCAACTCAGATGGGTTTTATTGGCATCATGGGAAACTTTCGCCGACATCGGCAAAACAAAAAGTGACCACGAGATAAAGATTTGTCAGAATGTGGTTTGTAAAGATGCAGCTGCTGATTGGCTAACACCTCTGACACGCCCACCAAACAAGAGAAGATCACCTCGAGACTGTTTCACACGTCAATCAGAAACGGTGCTTGATAAGTTGAGACTGAATGTGTCCCTGCTGCCAGGTCACGTCAGAGGTTTCCAGACTGTGTCAGAATCTGCACCTCGTCTTTGAGTCATAACTCAGTCACGTCTGAACACAGGTGTGACACACATTAACCCTTTAACAGTCACACTGAGAAATGAATTTGCAAAATAAAGTAATTAGTTGATTAATTGATCAAAAGAAAATGAACTGTGAACTTAGTTTGATAACTGTTAAAATATTTCTTCCCAAATGTCTCAGATTTTCTGTTTTTCTTTGTTTTATATCAAAGTTAACAAAATGTTTTTGGGTTTTTGCTCAGAAAACATTTGAAGACGTCCTCGTTAACTCTGATATTTACAGATGAAATAATGAACGGATGAATTCAGAATGATCGTCACATAGATTGAAAGTATTTTATGTTATTTCCTGGAGATGAAAATTCCGAACGTCTTGCTGTAGTCGAGGTTTCATGAACACGTTTTAAATGCCTGGAAACATGAAGTGAACGTGCAGCTGTTCATATCGACAACTGACGTCTTGATTGATTGTTGGCTTCATGTATGAAATAGTGACTGTTGGATGTTTTGTTGCAGAAGAAGTTAAACTAAACTTTTTTATACCAGTGAACTTTATATTAATCAGCTGATCACTGCGTCTCTGACACGTGTTGTTACTGTGTGTGTGTGTGTGTGTGTGTGTGTGTGTGTGTGTGTGTGTATGTGTGTGTGCATGCAGACGTGTCTCTGGGGCTGCTGACTCTGCGTTTCCTCCAGCTGCTGTTGGCGGCTCCGGACGGCGCTCTGGACCTCAGGGACGTTCCCGCGAGCCTCAACACCCGCAAACGGCGAGTCTATGACATCACGCACGTCCTGAGTGGCTTCAACCTCATCAAGAAGGACTCGGCCAACTGGATCAAGTGGATGTGAGTCTGAAAGATGATGTAATGACTCAGACCCTGGTCGACAGGTTAACTCCTCCTCCTGTGTTTGAACCATCAGGTCTCATGAAGAACGTCTTTATGTTCGGACCTTGAACAAGATTTCATCAGTAACAGAACTGAACTGTGGGAAAGTTTCAGTCAGTAAAACATGAGAGGCGGTCATGTGACAGTCACAGAGATATCAGATGAGATGATGTCACAGCCTGCAGCTGGTGATGTCACACTGTCAGGTCCTGTCGGTACGTACACAGATATTTTTCTGAACGGATTCTTTTGCCCTCCGTTTGGGAGAAAAATTCCGTCCACATGACCTCGTTTTACGACATATCTGCGTCTACACTGGAACGCTGAAACGACTCCAAACGGTCACATGTGCAGTGTTCACACAGACAGTGTTGCTGCTGCTGCAGAACTGTCCTTACAGAACTCACCTGTTATCATTTTATTAAGACTTCGTTAGGGGCGGGGCCTCTGTGAGTGACAGGCTGTCTGCTGATACCGGCTGTCTCTTTTACACAAACGTCACTTTGGCGCTGTTACTGCCTTTGCTGAGGGCTGAAAGGTGAGACAGCTCTCAGCAAAGTAAAATAAAAAGAATAAGTTTGCACAAACGTAAATTAAAGCAGGTATAACCTTTTTAACGACTCTACAGGGATTGTTGCTGCTCTGCATTGTAAAGCTTCTCTGTCTGCTCTGTGTGCAGAGGAAAGAGTCCCATCTCCAGCTTCCTGTGGAAGAACCCGCAGAGGCTGCAGAGCGAGCTGGAGAACCTGAAGGTGGTGGAGGACAAGCTGGACGGACTCATCAAAAGCTGCGCTCAGCAGCTCTTCGACATGACGGACGACGTGGAGAGCTCAGCATATCCTTCACAGCAGAGTGAAACAGAATCATCACAGTACATGTTCATATAAACACAACACAGGGTTTCTTTAACGCCTCCTCACATCAGCCTACGTGACGTACGCAGACATCAGCCGGCTCAGATCCATCCAGCAGCAGACGGTGATCATCGTCAAAGCTCCGGAGGAAACGCAGCTGGAGATCCCTGCGCCACAGGAGGTAACTGACACCTGGGCAGTTTGTCTGCAGTGAGGTCAGTGACGTCATGTTTGTTGAGCAACATTTGCACACAACTTTGATCATTGGTGAATATTCCAGGAGTCTGTGACGCACCGTCTGACAGGAAGTTAGCACAAACGTTTCTGAAGAAGATTGATGATTAAAATGAACCAGCACTAAAACAACAGTGTCAGACTGTCGGGGGTTAAATCACTGATCACAGCTGGAAGGTTCATGCTCACCTTTATATACAGAGACAACATTACGACCTCGTCCACCGTCGCCTCGTTTGTTGTTGTGTGAAACCTCTGACTCCGCCCTCTGGGACCGTCTATTGGCTGAATGATAAAGGACACATGGCAGTGTGAGAGCTGTGACCCTTGAAATGAACGGGTCTGTTTTCATATGTAAAATAAATGAGTCTTAACACTTAATGAGGTGATCATATGGTGCGTGTGTGCGTGTGTGTGTGTGTGTGTGTGTGTGTGTGTGTGTGTGTGTGTGTGTTGATGCAGGACCACATCCAGATGCACCTGAAGGCGGGGAGGACTCCCATCACGGTGCTGACCTGTGAGCTGGGCTCAGCAGAGAGGAGCGGCTCCTTCTTAACACTGGAGGAGAGCCGAGTCAGGACGACCACGCTGTGCACAGGTAACCATAGCAACCACATCTGTCAGTTTGTTTATACACACACACACACACACACACACACACACACACACACACACTAATATTGTGCTGTTATTGTGAGTGTGACGCAGGTCATGTGATCAACATGTGTTTGAGGATGATGCAGATGTGACTCAGGTGTTAGGAGCAGTCAGACACGGCTTTGTGTCTGTTTACAGTCAGCTCTGTGCGTTGTCATGGAGACGTTAAACACAAACCAACTCACCAACAGTTTGTCAGGCCGGAGTAGAGACACATGACCAAAAGAAAAACCAACATCTCTGGTCTGAAGCAGAAACACAGCGACTTTTAAACATCAGGACAGAATCTGATATCAACAGGTTTTTAGACACGAACAAATATCACAAAAACTGTAATACTTTGTGCATGTGAGCTTAGTGACTGATAATAACTCCAGAACACATCCAGAGTCTTGTGTTGCACTCTCAGGTACCTCATCCTCCACCAGAGGCGCTGTTCTTCAGTCTGTCACCATCTGAAACTGAAGGAACAGCATGAACGCAGCTCCTCTGTGACCTCACAGTCTGGGTGTGACTTTTGGCTCAGAAACATCAACCTTCATCATGTCTGACTGTGTCATCATCACAAACATGTCAACCAGGAAACGTTTCACTGAGCGCATGAGATCACCACTTTTAGCTTCACCTCATCAGCCCTCTGTCGGCCCCCTGTCGGCCCTCTGTTACCACACTCATCATAAAACAATCAGCACTTTGATAATAATGTAGATTTCTGAAGTTAGAATACATCTCATGCAGCTGACACCTGCAGCTTTTACTTTCCTTTTATTGGCAGAGTCTGTTTGTTGTTGCAGCTGATCCAGAACAGGAAACACATCTGACCTGCAGCTGTTTAAAGAATCTGATTTGCCTGACATCACCTGACCATCCACCAATCACGTTTCATCTTGTCATTTATGAGCTGACGTGGCCCCGGTGTGACTCCTCAGTGATGTTTTCTCTCGTGTTGTTGCTGCTGCAGGGTCGCCAGGTGCACAGAGGGTGTAGCCAGCTGCCGGCCGTCCTCAGGGTTCAGACACAGACCTGGAAACATGACGAGTTGATGACATCACAGATCGTGTGCAGGTACCAGCAGGTCACACAAAGACACTTCCTGCACACATGGCGGGAACACAGAGGAGGTTTCTACTGAAGACAGATTTAAATTTGACCTCAGCTGCTGCGACACGCCAACGTCACGGGAACATTAAACCTTTATTCATGGATCATTTTTCACCAGTGAGACAAGATTTTATTAAACTCCTCTGTGGAGCCGGACGGTCTGCTGAGACATGAAACGATGCAGGTGAGGAAGACGACAGGTTTTTATGTTTCTAAGAGGAGTGATGAAGAGAAGCAATATGACACACGCATGAAACAGTTTCTTCTATTTTATATGACGTCATCTGCTGTGAAATATTTTGATTAAATTTTTGACTTTTCTTTGTGTTTTTGATATAAAATGTTTTTCTGTCATCAATAAAAGTCGAGCTTGTATGAGACCTGTTGTCGGCCTGCGTCCTGAAGGTTGCTGGTTCAAATCCCTGACGTAGCAGTCACAGCCTCACGGTCGAAGGATTAAAATGAAATGTATAAAACAAAGATAAGACGCCAGATGAAATACATATGGCAGACAGACATGAGACACAAGTTAAAAGATAAAACATGCTCCATAAATGTCTGAACAGACGGCCAATGGAAAGAGAGCGTGCGCAGAGACGTCAGAACAATAATAATACTAATAATAATATGTCACATTATCCAGCGTGAAGTCGCATCTGTCAGTGAGATTATAGAACATACAGATATGTGTAAGGTAACGTCATAATTGTTTTGTGTTTGTTTTTTGGAAAACACTTCTTACTTTATTTCAGTGAGCTCAGATCACAGTACTTAAAACTTTACTTATATGATGCTAATAGCACCGATAAGTTAAACATGAATACGATTAAAAATAAATAAATCTACAGGGTTTCAATGGAGTTCATAATAATACTGTCAAAGTATTTTCAGTTTCATTGTTTTTATTAACTTTATTTCATTGGAGGTGTTTTGTCTGACGTCGTGTTGCTGCCACAGTTTTTTTCCTACTTACACAAAACACATTTTTCACACGATGTTTCCATTTAATTTCATTCTTGTTTGTTATTACAGCACATACTTCCCTCACGTCTGCACGTTGTATTTCAGTGTTTGAAGTAACGGCCGGGTGCAGCAGGCAGGGGGCAGCAGTGTGCTGTTAAGCTGGCAGGATGTTGTTGCAGCAGAAACATCTTGCAGAATAATGAGTTGTAATTATAACAATTATTTTTATTTGTTCAGTCTGAGTCTTGAGCTGCTTCAGTGTGGTGGTGGAGGAACTGTTCACCTCCTGTACAACAGTAAAAGTTCTGCTCTTAAACCTTTCGTAGAGAACTGAAGTGTTCTCAGCAAAGTTTGCTCAAAGTATTGAGAGTAAAAGTACTTATTCAGAAACATGATGGTGTTTAATTGTGTACATTAAATGTGTGATCCTGTGCAGCCTGGAAAAGTTGCTGCACGAGAAAAATATGATTTTGTTCTTTTGCATTTAAAGCAACATAACAAAGTTTTTGAGCCCTCAAAATATATATCCAAGATCCTTGTGATGGTTCATCAACTCACAAAAGGTTACATGACTCCTCCGTCATTGCTTGAGAGCGTCTGTTTCACTTGAACTGGCACTATGCAGTGTCAGGGTTCAGGTAAGAACCTGGACACAAAAAAGACTACAAAATTTGGCTGCTTTATGGCATACGTCATATCTCCCTCCTCGTCACATCCCCGTCCTCGTCATGTCTTCCTCCTCGTCACATCCCCGTCCTCGTCATGTCTTCCTCCTCGTCATATCGACATATCCCCCTCCTCTCTTTAGAGTAGCAAAGCCGAACCAAGGTGAACCAAGTCAGACGTGGTTTTCATGGCTGAAGTGACAAAGAAAAGGAAGAAGGTGAAGGTGTTGTCTGAGGAGACAAAGAAAAGAAAACGGGAGAGCGATAAAACAAGAGCTCCAACAAGGATTAATATTGGCCCGGCTTTCACACGCTGGCGAAAACTGAAAGAGGAGGAGGGATGCCCGACCGATGGTGACGTGGCGCTGTTACTGCTGGACTCTTAAGTATAAATTGTTTGCTTACAAACTATATAATAACTTTACCTGTTCTGAGGACATGATGATCGCGCATTACACGGCCAGCTTCAGGAAGTTCACCGGTATTGTTGGCTTGTTAACAAATGCACGCGCAGAAAGATTTTTGCGACAGCTGTAACAGACAGTACCGTTTTTCGTCTGTAGGGGGAGCCCGTGAGGTAAAAAGAGCAATCCTACATTGTGTTGCTTTAAAGCTTCACTGAGTGCGTTTACATGGACAGTTTAATTCCCTTTTCATTCGTAATTAAAGTTCATTCCTATTAATAGTGATCTTGTAAACACCTAATTCAGAATGAAAATGGCCAATGCCATTGAAAATTCAATCCGATGTAAGGGGCTGGAATATTCCGTTTCTAACTCCGAATGAAAGAATTTCTCACACTTGTATACACTCATTCCTCTTTAAGTTCATTCCGGTCTTTCTGCACATGCTCGTTTCCTTGCCCTTCTGGCGCCATGACGTATATAGCGCGCATAGCAACGGGCTGAGATAGAGCAGTCGGACTCGTTGCACTCACCGGTTTCCATTCGCCACAGCACGGTCTTCTATCTCCCTTCTTCGACCTTCTACCTCCCTTCTCCTCCTCAACAGACGAAGCATTAGCAGAACAAGGTTGTTGTCGTACTGCTGCTTCAAGAATATAAGCAAAACAAGCCTGAAAAAGGCACTAAGAACGGCGTCGTCAAGCATCTTGTTATCCGGAGCGAGGACTACAGTGTTTTCTTCTGGTAAACAGAAACACGTAACATCCGCCCCGCCCCCTATCCAATCAGAAACCTTCCCTGCCCCAAACCTTGCATGGACCCAAATAAAGGCGATTAAACTGATCTCTGTGTAAACCCTCATTCAGAATGAATATTTCTCATGTAAACTACCTGGAAAGACTTTAATTCAGAATGATTTCATTCAGATTTATTTCATTCTGAATGAGAAGCCATCATGTAACCGCAGCCAGTGTGTCGGATTCAGGAAAGTGAAAATAATATAATCAGCTGTGTTTTCGTTCCCTCAGAATGAGATGTTTATATCTCCACAGGGAGCAGGTCCTCGTCTACAGAGATCACCATGTTGCACCGCCATGTTTCTACAGTAGCCCAGAACGGACAAACCAAACACTGACTCTAGATAAAGATATTCAGGTTTTCATGTGTTCATGTGTTTTCCCATCAGCCACTGTCGTTACACGTCCCTCTGCTTCCAGCAGCGTCAGAAAAACACGGATTTTTAATGTGGATCAGTTTACAGATTCACAAGCCAAAAAAATAAGTTGTGGAGAGGTGAACAGTAAAGTATTTCTCTCAGACAGTAGAAGTATACAGAGGCATCAGTACTCAAGTAAAGTACCTCAGTATAGTGTGTGTGTGTGTGTATTCCTCTGCTCCGCTGCTGCAGTGTGTGACTGAGGTGTGGTTTGGTGAAGTAAATCCTCCTCCGGCTGGTCCTGGTCCAGCTGAAGGAGTCCGCCCTCCTGCTGTCAGGACGGGAAACACGAGACTCAAACACACAGATTTCACTCAACAAGTGAACACAGCAGGAAAACACAACTCTCGACTCTCAGACGAGACCTGAGACTTTAGAGAGCGGGAACCAGCTGCAGGTGAGTCTGTCTGTCTGTCTCTGTCTCTGTTTGTTTCCTGACAGTGTCTGAACTGTAGTTGAAACTGTGACTCATGAGTGTTGGTCCAGATGTGAGCAGATGTTGCCTTCACTGTCTGTGTGGACTCAGTGTTTCTGCAGTTTTAATATCTGCTGTGTGTGTGTGTGTGTGATGTTCCTGTGTGGACCTGCAGTGTGTCTGTGGAGGTCACACTGCGTTAGGTGTGATGTTGTCGTACTTCACAGCATCATCGTGATGTTCTGTAAAGTTTGAGTTAGTCTGTGACGATCCTGACAGAGATCAGTGGAGCGTCTGTAATGTGAACACACACAGTGACAACAACTTTTTATTTTACTCACGTCAGGACACTTGTGGTCACATGTCTGTCAGAAGCTGGGTGGTTATTGTCTTGTTTTCGTCCGTCAGCGGCGGCGTGTTGGCAGCCTGCAGCTGATTACGTAACGTGCACACACAGATGACATGTTCTCCAGTCTGCAGACGCAGGGCGGCTCATAGCTGCTGCTCTGACTGAAACATGATGCTGAGACGTTTCCTGCTCACATTGAAACTTGATTTGTGGACCTGTGAGGAAACTGACAGTCACTCAGAGCATCAGGTTTTTAGATTTCTGTCACTCGTAAGTGACCTGCAGACAGGAAGTGGACACAGCTGTTCAAGTTAAGCTCCGAGTGTTGCGGCTCCACTGATACTGGATCTTTGTGACTGATGTTGGTGTTTGACAGTTGAAAGTCTGATGATGTATCAGCCGATCCCTGACGTGTGGTTATTAAAGGACACATCCAGAAACAAACTGAAACATTTGACTACGTAAAACTCGGCCTGTGAGCGCCGTCTGCTGGACGCTGCTGAGAAGTGTCCGTCATTCCACACTCAACTTTTGGACCGTTTTGGGAGCGCCAGTCGTACACTGCGTTGTCCTGCGCTGTGCAGTGTGAACGCACTGAGCGCACTCTGAATATGAAGTGTTCAGTACAGAAGTCTGAGACACACTGTAAAACTGTTTTTGTATCAGACTGTAAACGTGTTAATTTCCACATGTTAACATGGAGGTCTGTGGGGACTGACTCGCTCTTGGAGCCAGCCTCAGGTGGACATTAGAGGAACTGCAGTTTCTGTCTCCTCCATGTTGGCTTCAGGTTGTTGCTCAGTGCTCAGCAGCAGTGTTGGGTAAGGGTTACTTTAAAAGTAATCAAATTACTTTACTGCATTACTTTTTTGAAAAGTAACCAGTTACTTTACTGCGTTACTCCCTGAGAAAAGTAACTCAAGCACTTTTAAAGTACTTTTGAGTATTCTACATTTCCTATTGGGCAATGGACCACAGGGCGCTAAGCCTACATTTTTTTGTCTCCAAAATTAAAGTTATGGACCACTTGCCCTTCACTGAGATCCAATTCTCCCATCACAGCCGTCACTTTGACCAGTAGAAACACAGAACGATCTGCTGCCGTAGACAACTGTATGACAACAACACCCCAGCGTTTTTAATATTTCCTCTAGGGATGTTACCACACAGAGTAAAAGGGGGAAATGATGGTGTGAAACAGCAGAGGCACTTTGTCAACCCGCTGAGTTAACGTTACTGTCATTAGCATCAAGCTAGCAAACAATGGTACATCCTCACGGTCGGACATAAAGTAATAACATTAACAAATAGCGGCGGGGCTTTTACTCACCACAACTGCAGAGGCTCCCAGCTTCATTTGAAACAAAC